GTCCAATCCAAGGTTATCTAGGATCCTCTCTTATATGACCCGAACAATAGTATGTTTTATCCTTACAATACAAAGAAATATTAATGGGGCCTCCGGCCAGGTTGACCAGCCTCATATATTAATAATTCTAATGTATTTTGTTTATTTTCAATGCAATTTGTTCGAAAATTTTTTTAACGTCACATATATTATACTGATATTTAATTTTTAACTAAATTATACTTACAAACATCAAGACTTCTTGTCATTCGTTTACTTAATGATCTTTCAAAATCAGGATTAGGTCTATCAAGTAATAATTGTCGAGTTTGATGATATGTATATGTTCCTGTATAACGAAATGTTGAATTAAATCTTGGTAAAATAGGTCGTTTGCGAATTTCTTCTGGTCGACGTAAACTTAAATAACGAACAATTTTTACAGTATGTTTTTTTTTTTTATTTTTATTTTAAACTAAAATAAAATCCTACCGAAAGAAAGCATGATGTTCAACAGCTATTTTCCATAAAGATTTTGCTGCTCGATATGTTGGTAATTTAAAACCTATTGTACTTTCATATCGATCAAACTAAGAAAAAAAGAAAGTTCACATCTAATTAAATCATTATTTATTCAAGAAAAATACATACATCACTTGGTCGAAGTTTAATAAAGAAATACTTTCGTTTATAAGATATTTTTAATATTTTTGGCCAAGCAAAACGATTTATACGTAATTTATCACGATATATTAATATTCCATTAGCTGAAACACCAATATTAATATTAACATTTTCAGAATCCTATAAATATTCTCGAATAATAATTATTATTGAAAATAAAAATCAAATAAATACTTGTGCAGGATGAATATCTACACCATACATGGCTAATTTTTTAGCATTTTCAAGAAAATGTAAATCAGCTGCATTAGGTGGTTGACCTCTATATATAAATAGAAACATATAAAATGAGAAATAAAAGATAAACATATATCTCATACTTATGTCTTTTATGTTGTTCATGAATACGTTTTAATAATTCTTCATCTTGTTGAGGTGCAAATTGAAGTTCTTTAAGATAATCATATGTTGTTCCATGATCTAATTCACTATAATCTCCTAATTCAGCTTGAGCTGTATATGAACCCAATAGAGCATAAGTTACAAATGAACAAGGTAATCTATATAAATAAAAAAAAAGTATGAATAGAAATTTTCAAAAAAATAAAATCCATTAACTTACTTTCCAGAAAGAATATCTTGTCGTAATTGAAGACATAATTGATATCTATTAAAAAAAATTATACATCTCAATTACACTATGACTGCTTCAAATTACTATTGAAATATTGATTCATTTAGGTTTGGATATCTTTTTTTTTTTGCATATTAGTCTTACTCATATTAAAGATAATTCTACCGATGAAAAAAAATCTTCTGAGAACCTTGTGTTATGTACGATTGAATACTTATGGAAGTATCCATCGAAAATACAATTCTTAAACATTCTATCGTTGGTAGACAACATACAGCAAAAGGATTGCACATTAAATACGTTGATAAAATTTCTCAATTGTTTTAACAAGAAAAAAGCGTTAAAATTCAGTTTAATAATAATGTTAAATTAAGAAAAGCAGCAAGGCAAACAAAAATTAGAGCGCAAGTAAAAAAGCTTTGTGTTCGATATGTTGAAATAAATAAGACAAATTATGCCTATAGAAATAATTATAATCTGATACAGATTTTTCATTTTAAGAATTTCATATTAGTACAATGAAGCTAAAGAACACACGTTAGGCTTAAAAGATTTGTGCCGACAAGCTTTTTTTTTAGATACATCGTAAGTTTTAGCAAACAAATGAAAAGCTAGCATCACATACCGCAAATAAATTTTATAGTCTAATTACTAGAGACCATTATTATCTAAGAAAAAAAAATCGAAAACATATACATACACTTGGAATTCTTGACTTAACTAGCGAATTCTAATAGTAACAACTCTTAATTTAGTCTGTCACGTTTTATTTAATAAGGCACAGCAACTAGCATCTATAATATGCTTTAGCTGACTTTTTTAATTAATAATATTTCTTTACAATTGATAAATTTAATCTATACTTATTTCACAGAGTTGAAAGGCATCTTTATTCATAAGCTCATATAATTTGATTATTAGAAGTATGGAAGTGTTTTAAAAGAAAATTCATAAAGGGACCGAAGAACTGGTTCATTCGATGTACTATAGTAAAGTTAGCGAATAAATGCAACATTTGAAATTAACGTCAAAAACCACATTTTAGAGAATTTTTTCTTGTAGTTACACAAAAATGTATCCATCTCAATGTTAGTTTTGACGCTGATTCTGAATGTTGCATTTATTGGCGGTAACTTTCCTATCATACATAGAATTGATCAGTACTACGATCTCCTCATGGACGCTCTCTTAGCAGTCAATTAAATAGGTCAATTTTAGTGTTCGAAAAATCAATAAGAGAAAACTGACAGACCGATTTCAAGTATGATCCTAGTTTGAACAGGTTAACACTTTTCATTCTGACATATCATTGTTTCAATTTATTCGATCTTTTGATTAACATTTTCATCGAAAAGAAAAAGAGAGACAAACCTCGTAATATCTTCTTGAAGTAAAGCTGGTTCTGGTGGATAAAATTTAACTTGAAAATAAAAGATTGGATCAAGACCTTAAATATCAAATGCAATCGTTTTCTTTTTCTTCATTTAAATAAAATTCTACCTTTCAATTGACTTCGAACACGTTTATCATTATCAAGCCAACACTAAAAATTGTTAATACTATTATAAATTATCATTTAAATTTATACTAACTCTATTATTTTCATTATCAATATAAGTTAAACCAAAATAATCTTTTTCTTCTAATCGCATTAAATCACATACACGAGTATATAATATTTTACCTGTATCATCTTTCTAGAAAAAAAGAAAATAATTTTTTTTTTCTTTGTAATGAAACTTTTAAGGAATAAATTTGTTTACATACACTTAAATCTACATATTCTTCAGTATCATCTAACATTATAATTCGTGATTTAGATTTATTAATAAGTTGTGTATTAATAATTCGTTTTGATGATAATGATTGTTGTTCCGTTTTTGATTTTTTACGTTCTTTTTCTTCTTGTTTGCGAACTTTTTTTTCTTCTTTTTCACGTTGACGTTGAGTACGTTTTACATTTTCTTCCTAAATTAAATGAATATTTATATAGAAGTTAATGTTTATCTTCTTGTTTTTTATTTACTTCTTTTTTCTTTAATTTTTTTCTGTCTTTTTTTTTTGTATTATCTTCTATACCAGATTGAGCGATATGATGATCACCATATTGTAATGAACCACTGAATCGATCTACATCAAAACTATCTACATCATTCATTGATCCGACTTGAAGCTAAACAAATGAATAGAAAACAAAACAAAAAAAAAAACAAATCATATATCGGTATTTTACTATGCCTACATGTGAAACTGATTGACTGACTGGTTGAACAAATTCAGTCATTTTCATATAGTTGAACTTCTAGTGATCAATTCGATTGAATTAACGTATCGGTCAAAAACGATGAATGGAGAAACTGACAAGCATATTACCAATAGAGTTTTTTTTAAATATTTATTATAAAATTTAATTAAAATAAAAAGCAAAAAGATTATTTATTAAAATATATATCATTAGATATTTAATATCTATTGCAATGAGTACTATTTCATTTCATAGAGGTCACTAGATGACAAGTCATTTTCTGCTAGATGACTTTGACTTAAAGCTATAAAGATAATGATTTGACCTGCTTGAATATTTATCAAAAAAAAATGATAAATTTTGATATTCATTACAAAATCATGATGATTACGCTCGATGAAATCCCCTTAGAATGTAAAAAATAAGTTGGCTTTCTCTCTAACTTTGTTCATTAGTCTAACTACTTTTTTTCTATCTACCATCTGCTTTTCTATTTCCTTCCGATATATATTGCCTGTCAAACTACATAGATGTGTCTCCTCAATTTTCCTATCAAGCTTATCTTTTCGTTTGATTTTTTCATTTCTAGTACTATATTCAAATACTGATGATCTTAATACATACAATAAAACTTTTCTGAATATGAAATTATAGCTTAAGTGTTAAAGCTTATTATTATAATAGAAATATGTAGAAGTAATAGTCTTTTCTTTTAAGTGGAAATCTAAATAATGAGAAACACTTTTTTTTTCCTGTTAAAAATAAGATACTATTTTATATTAGTATTTATAGTGAGTACCGAATATTTTCATCATAAGTAGTTCCGATGTGTTCAGGATATTAAAAAAACTAAAAGCAAAGAAAAAACAAGAAAAACTAGTCTAGCTTTTTAAATAACGACATTTCTACTGATTAATTCAGGTAAGTAATTTCTTTTTAAATAGCCACTTTGTTTTTTAATATTTTTCATATTCTGATGGAAATATTTTTTTAAGATCCGAAAACTCAGCTATTTTCTAAATACAAATGTTTGCTTATTTCCTTCTCTCATTATTAATTTTACCTATGTTTAATGCCCAACGTCTTCAGACTGAATTCAAAAATAATGATGAATTGCTGACAGAACGCTCGGTAGCAGCTAATTATTTGTGTAAGTATTTAATATTGAATTTCGATAATTATTTTATTTTTATTTTAGCTGGTTTACCAATAAGACAATATCAAGATCAATTATTTGATTCACCAATTGATAGTTTATCATTATTACTAATACCAAATAGACACAATCAACAACAACAACAACGTGCAAAACGGATCTATTGGGAGAATCTTGCATTTCATGCAGCTGATTATAATCAAAAACCCAAAAAGGTCTAAATAAATGATGATTTTGGTTGTTTTGATGTTGTCTGGAAATGAATAAAAATTATCTTAAATAATATTCTTTTTTTTTTGGTAATCTATATAAAAGATTTGAATAAAGAAGTTGATTGTTCGAAACTCTTTGTTTTATATTTACAATCATAAAATACATTATTCGAATTCAAAAGATCGATAGTCATAGTTTAATATGATAATTTATTCATCAATGATTATCACGAATTCGGTGATTTATAAATCGATCGCAGATAATCTCTTGTGATTATGCCGAAAATAGAAGAAAAAAGGTTCATGTATGCACTTGCCTTTGTATTTGTTTAATCATTAAAATAGTTCACGACTGTTTTATGTTTGGAATGATCTGATTTTTATGATCGGATAGTTGTTACCGACACTTAACAGTTCATGTTTTATTAATAATATAATTTTTCTACCCACATTGCATGATTCGTTCTTTGATTTAATTGATGCCAGTAAAATTCCTATAGGATCCTACATTCCCAAAATTGATAATATTTCTTACTCTAGAGTAGATCAAAAACTAGATTACTTTATGATTTAATCGTCAAACAAACGATAGAAAAATATTTAAAAATATAATAGAAATTTCAAACATCATAGAATAAGACAAAAAAGTATATTTTTATTAAACTTTAGACAACAATGACATAAGAGAAAAGCAAAAAAAAAAGGCAATTACTTGGAACAACAATGATTGTTGTATGAGTATATAACATAATTTATCTTGAAACTAGATTTTGAATATTTTTTTTTCAATCGTTATACGATTAGTATAATTCTTGAATGAATCTAGTTGTTGAACAATACGAAATAAATCTTATGTCGAAATAGAATTAAAATAATTAATTGATATACCAACATTCGTTGAACTTGTCTTGCCATATGTTTATTTGTATTTCATACAATAACTGCTGTTGTTATACATTAATTATCATACAGTATTCATGTTGATTGGAACAAATCTTATATGAATAAAGAAAGCTTATAGTTATATTATCAAACATTTCAAGTCCTTGCCTAAAGCTGAACTCAACATATTGCTTATTAGGAAAGATTTTCAAACGATAAATCTCTTTCGAGCTGCAGCTATATTCAATTGATATGGCATTGTGAGTAAGTGAGTTTCCTAGAGTAGTTCGAACTGTTGAAACTGTGTTACTGAAAATTTCTATTTTCAGTAAATTTTTCATGTTGAATTCAAATATTCAAATTAAATCATATTCTTGAATTTTGACCTGACACTTTATTCACAATTAGACAAGCTAGTCTACTGTGAATAAAATTTCAGGTCAAACCTCCCAACTATAATTGTACTTCAAAATTAGATCGATACAGGAAAAATCGAGTAAAAGTTTCATATTTCAGCAGCAAAAGCCCACCAGCACGAATCACTCTATGATACTTATCCATCCACTAGGTCCTATCTATTGATTTATAGTTCCAGTTTAAAAACGATTTATTACTTCGGAACCTTCCCTCATTAGAAGATTAATAATAAACCAGAATAGAATGGTATAAGATATTGCACGATCTACAGATCGTTTTCAATGAAAAATCAACATTAGTACTTTATTTTGGGGATGGTGGAAAAAAATTAATCAAATGATGGTCAACATCGATAACATATACACATAATGAAGCTACAGAAACGATTGGATTACAAATTCGACAAGATGGATTGTCATTTATTCAAGTCTATTTTGAAAGTCAGATGAATATCTGGTTTATGAATACATGAGAGATGAACGAAACAACAAAGAAAGTATCGTACGAGATAAAAGAAGCGAGAGAAGAGATGAACAAGAATAACCGTCGACATAACAGGAACGTTCACACATATATGGTGGCAGAAAAAAGTTTAACAACAATTTATGTTTTTTTTCTCTTATAATGTTACGCACTTGACTCAAATTCAGATAGTGATTTTATTAGGCAAAAGAGTTTTCTATCTAATGCATTCTATGCCAAAAATTTTATAGATGAAGTATGATAGTAAGATTTCTAAAAAACTGAATACTATAATTTTCAGGTCCTAGAACCTAGTTTTTAACAATGCCATGTTTAAACAGCACAAAAAAAAGGATTATCGCATTTTCTACGACCTTCTCTAAGAAGAATGAAAGCATCACAAAAAAAAAAACCGAAATTTATCAAAAACACGTTTTTTTCTTCGATTTTTGTTATACTTTTAACTTTTTAATGGAAGATCATAGAAAACGTGATGAACTGTCATTTTGTCCAGAATGATGTAATCTTTAAAATGGCATTGTTAAAAAAATAGGTTCTGATACCAGAAAACTCCCATGTCCGGTTGTTTTACGAAATTTGCTATCATTTGTTACTTAACTTTTTTTTCCACCACCTTATATATGTATGTGCAGTAACCACAATCGAATATTACATAGAACGAAAAGAAAATGAGCAGAAACATAACGACAAAGAAATTCTGATATACACTTATATAGTGATAAGAAAAATCATCAAATTTGTTTGTCACTACATCAGCACACTAATTATTGGAATTAATAGTGATAACTTCAACACCACTACTAAGTGAGTATGGTAAAAATGTTTGAATAAGCTGAATACAACAAGCAATTGAACAAGCTAATAAATAAACAGTTGATATACTATTAGGAAATCTATGTCTAGTAAAGACATAAATTGCTAAACAAGTGATAATGATACCCAATATACACATGAATATATTGACAATAATATTAAGCCAAGTAGTAATTAAAATAAGAGTTTCAATAAGATTTGTCATTCTATAACGATGACGTTTGCACTGAAAGAATTATATTGTAATGTGACTTATGAATGGCATGAATAATTAAGAAGAAAGATGCATTAAAAGAAACTTTAGAGATTTATTTTTTCTTTATCAAAATATAAGGAAATAAAGTGAGATGAAAACATAAGTAGATAAATGACTCATTAGAGAGTATAGAATTATTTTGAAATGATAATAAAATTTTCGGTAAAAATCTATTTTTGATAAAATCATAAAAGATTTTCATCTAACTAAACTCTTATTCGCAATTAACATAATATAATAATAATCTATAATTAAATCAAACTATCCATGGTCATACTAGGGTCGCTAAAATCTTGCTATTGTTCTGATTTCCTGATTTTTCTTTTGTGTTTCTGTTGCGACCCGTGAAGTACTAACTGCACATGACTTTGCACAAAGAATACAACTTTAAAGTATTTCTATAAGAAGCTAAAGTAAT